AAAATTGCATATGTATTCAATGGTTTAAGATAGCAGTACGTTGGTTAACAGTGAAAATAAATCAAATGGCAGCATCATCATTTCGCCAATGTTAATATGCTTGATAGCCTTAAAGAATTTAAACGTGCCTTTAAGTCTTCTCGGGTACCGGCGGCTCTGCAGTCACTTAAACTTTTGGAAAAGCCATTTTGCCATGGCGTGATATGGCAAGCTTCTCATGTCCGATATAGGAAGACGTGGCGTGCCTTTTTGCGCATTTTAGGTGGGCCATATATTCTTGCCTTGTAGTACGAGCTGGACTTATTCCATCCATCTCCTTTTCAGATGAAATTCCTTCTTTGTGAAGATCTTTAAGTAATTTGTATCAGTTTGCCTTCAACGGCCTCTGTCCGGTTCGTGTCTTTATCAGATTTGAAAATTTTGCGTGATTCGATAATATTTGTTCTAGTTTTGCCACATAATCAATTCGATTTAAGGCTATCTACTTATGCGGGCTTGGGGGTTGTAGGTCTGAACTCTTACTGAAGAGGTTGTCAAATTGCTTATGTTGTGCAATGCAAAACTTAAAACGCATATATAGTACTCGTAGCAGCTATTTGTAAAGACTAAGTGACAAGTTATTATGCACGTATCGTTCGGATTGTTTGGAAGTGCTGTCTGCTATCCCACTGTTTGGACACTTCGTAGAAGTTTAGTCCACCTGGCATCGCTCCTCCTATTTTTAAATGTCTTTGCGTAGTTTTCTGGCGCAGGTTCTACTGGACCTGCTAAATTCTGGCGCTCACTGTCTCCAAATTATTATCCGTAGCATGGCTGAAGTAGGGGTTGATATGGTTCCTTCGGATATTCCCCCTTGTCAGTGCCTCCTGATATGAATTTCGAACTTAAGTTTATCTTCGCAAGTCTGGTGTCCTAACATACGAAAAGATTGAATTGCCTTCGCACCTAGGAATATATGGATAATCGGAATGCGGCGAAAATTCTCATTTTACAACTGAAAAATCAAATAAAAGGTAAGCAAGTTTGTTTCTCAGTCATTTACCATCAGGCGACAAATCCTGCGGATACTGCGACGGATAACGTCACCTACTTTGGTCATCACGGCTATGCCAAAAATGGGGAGTTCCATATGTTACATCACATCAATTAAATCCTAAGTCGAACGGCTGGATAGAACGATTATTTGACACCTTTAAGATACCTGCCACAAAGATGTGACAGGCACGCGTGAGAATACACTGCCTCACAGCTTTCGTTCTAGCCTCCTGAAAAAGGCAGACACGTGACCTTGAGGGGAGAACACAAGCCAAGCGTTCCTTGGATCGATTCTAATGTAGAAAGCCAGAGTTTCGAGTTAACAATTATGCGAAAAACACCTTCGTGTGCAAGCAAAGTCGTTTGCTCATTACTAAATTTCGGAGCTAAATCTTGGATTGAGGAATTTTCAGAAAGTCGAGAGGCGATTTTGAGGTTGAATCAGCGACGGGGAGAATTAAAAGGCACACGAAACAACTAAGTCGCAGATTCTACGCTGATGACCATATAGAAATCGTTAAGCCATATGACAAAATGAGGTCCCAATCCCAAGTTACAGTTCTGCGAATCCTGCAAACACATTTCAAAACGAAATTTAACTTGGTAGTTTAGCGTATATCTGGAAAGGTTATTTTGATCAACTGAATGGATTTAATTATAATAATAAGGACTTTGGTTTGGAAAGCTGCCCCTTATTTAAAGTTATTAGGGAAAATAGGCCCTTATTTTGCTAAATCATGAAAATTTTTATATAAAAGCTTTTTGTATGCTATAAGGAATGGCAGGACGAAACTATCTTCTAATATGCATTGTGCTGTGGAAGAATTCCATAATTACTAAAAAGGTTAAATAATAACCCCTTCCAGTACTGGACAATTTTGTGCGAAGTTGATCAAATTGAAATAAAGCAAAAATTAAGAGATCGCATTTATTTTCAGAAAGAAGCAGCAATAGCAGTTTAAAAAATTATATTTAGCTATTCTGTGAAGCTTTTGGAAAAAATGCAGTAAAAAGTTCTTGGTAAAACATTTTTTTTACGCACAGCTGGTCGTGCGCGTAAACAAGTTTCTACATGTAAGCGCGCAGACAGCAATAGAAAGCCTTATTGAACGTAAGTCATGTAAAAATATAGTTTTTTTGTAAACAAGAGGTTCCGCTCAAGCGTTATTTACAAGCGGAACAGACAAAAGAATAATAAGTATTTCAAAAAAATGGTCACAAACGTGGCCTGCTTTTTTGCATTTGCACGTTTATTACGGATTTTGTAATAAATCTCCTTAAGTGAAAAATAATCGGTTATAAAGAGAAGGGTATGTTCTTTCATCTTCAGTCACATGTAATCGTTTTCCTTCAGATGCATTAAAGAAATAGTCAAACGTCCCCAATTTTCATGGAAATATTTAATGTACCCAAACGATCTTGAGCTAAATAACCAATAAAAACACTTTTTAAATAGGTAACCTATTATTGAAACTTATATTATTAATCCTAGAAATGAAAATATGCGTGGTATCTAGCAGACACGTCGTATGCTAGAAAATGTGGTTTGCTCTTTTGAAGTATTTACACGTTTGAACAGCATGGTCATCTGCATAGGAACTAATATCCAAAAGCTCGTTTTTTTCGGTAAATGCTGTTAAGTTATATCCTTTTTAAAGGGTTTGATATAAACGTCGAACAAACGGACAATTAGTAAACTTATCAATGAATACACGGACAACTAGCGAAATGAAGAGAGAATTTATTCAACGATATTCAATAACTACGTATATAATCATTCCCACATATACAAAATATTTTGAGTAAAGGCAAGTTCTTTTTGTATAAAGAAAGCGGTCGCTTTAGGTTTTACACTTACCAAAGTATTTAAACTTAAATACTTACTTAAGTACTTAAACTTAAATACTTAAACTTATTTAAACTTAGTATGTCTAATGCTGCTAATTATTATTTATATGTTTTTGCAAATGCGTTCCCGCTGGTGTGGGAGAAATAATTAAACATTTACAAATGTAGGAAATTTGCTTGCAGCACTCGTAGAAGTGTAATGGTTAAGCCGTCAAGCACGTCACTTTTTCCTGCCAGCCAAAGAATACCCTTCGTGCATGATTTCCGCACGAAAACTATACATTTGAATGTATAAATACTGCTAAAGCCAGTTACAAAATGCGGGCTACGTACGTTTACATTTTTTTATAAAACATACTTTTTGTTAGCGGTCAGAACGAATCTTGAATGCCGGCATCCTATCGTGACTGAAAGTGCTTGTGAGTGGTCTACATGATTATCAGTGTTTCGATCTTACTTAATGCCGATTAGCGAATGAGTAGACATATTTCAAAAATGTCGGCATGTTGCAGGAATGCAGTGCCTACTGTAGTTCACTAACATCTCGCTTTTATTTTAGCCGGTTCGCCTTAAGTTCACTAGATATGCATTGAGCACAAGCTGTATTCTTCAAATTAGTTTTATTGATTATTAATTAGAGCTGAAATATGTTGTGTTACGTTTGGTGACTGCAATAGGTGGTTATTTATTTCTGATGTCAGCATAAAGCCACTGCTAATTATCAGTTTTCGGGTAAGGTGGGTTTCGGCGAGCTTTCATTCATTGAGTGCAATTACCTACTTTTGAGAGATGGGAGTGTTTTTTTTGTTGGTTGCGATCAAGAAGATGCTAGTATGGGAGTAATCGGAGCTGGTAATGAAACGTGTATGTAACCTTATGCTATATGACGTCATTGTCTTCGACTGCGACGACTACTGAATAAATAATGATGGCGCGTTTAAGGCACTGTTTCTTACTAAATACCTTTTATTTATTTCCATCCGGTTGCATTTGCGTGAGTCAGATACGTTTCGGAATATTGCGCCAGCGAGAAAATTATGGACACTTTTAAACAAGGTGTTTACTTAATTTGCACGCAATGTGATAAAGCATTTTCGGTTAGAGCACGCCTGAGACAAGTTACGTTTCCCGAATCTGTCATCAAAAAAAAGCATGATAGTCTCCTTCATGCGCATATAAAGCCCAGTGAGACACAAGATTCATTAAAACTAATATAGTGCGCATGTTTGTATACGCACATTGTTACAGAGCGGGAACCCTTTTCAAACAGAATTTGTGTAGCATGTGTCAGAATCATGAAGGAAGGCGCAATCAACTAAACGGCCAAAGAAATAAAATAAACACATTTTGAGAATGGGTTTCATGTGTGGGCCTTTTCTACATTAAATAACAGTCAGTGCATTTTTTGTAATTAAAGTTTAATGCCATTTTTATCTGTTTCAATTCGATGGGTAACGTACGATGCAGGGCGGGTCCTCCAAAACTGCGGCTATCCAATTTTGGTAGCGCCATTCACTTCCCTGACTACCAAAAATATCACTTCGATTATCATGGATTTGTCCGGTGGGACGGTTATAACCAACCTCGGTTATACGTGAACATATTTCAGTTAAAATTATGTTTGTGACGGCTATAGGCTCCCCAATTCCTATAGAAATGCCACTGTTGCTTTTTTTACTTTGGATACACCGTTCACCGTTCTCAACTGGAAAGGGGGTCGTCATATTATCTAATCCTCAAATAACCTATTACTTGCGTCAATTTCAGAACATGGCTTATAAGAAATACTCGCTTGGCTTACGCTTTCAAAACATAGTATATCAAAATAGTATATGAAGAATGCCCATGACCACTAACGGTCACCTTATCTCACCAGACACTAAGGAGCCTTATCTCCGCACACACATGGGCGTCATTTTGGCATTTCACGAACCATAGTGCGTAGGATTACAAAGAGTTGACTCTCGGACGACCTGTGTGGGTGTTGTGTTACACATGTGTGCGTGGGTTTGACCAGCCCGGAATGCCACTATTGTGAATGCAGTAAACACGGTGTATCTACATAAATTGGCGAGCACAGAGCAGGAAACAGTCCAACTTACTAAGACGGTACAGCCATGATATCCGTGGCATATCTTTTTTCCGCCCTTCTCGTGTTCTCTAGCCTCATCGGCTCAGAGGCAAATCCGATTTCAGTGTATTCAAATGTTTTGGACAACGATGAAGAAGGCCTCAAAGAGGCCGCAGCAGATGTCGAGTCCGAAAGACAATTAGTGAATATCTACTCGGCTAATATTCATCCTATGTACTCTGCGGATGACAGTGTTCTAGCTGCAGCTCGCAGTTGGGAACGTCGTCCATATCGTCCGCGACCATGGCCCCAACCACGACCATGGCCCCGTCCCGGACCAATACGTCCCGGACCATGGCGTCCTTTTCGTTTTTGAATTATTCCCTGTCAACATTCATGAGTGACTTCCTCGTCCAAATACTGGATCCCATTCCGTTGTATGTTTTCTTCTGTTTGATTCACTGATGTTCCCACCTCGACGCTGTCCTACTTAAAACATCAAAAACCCATCTTTGGCCTTATTCTATCACTGTCAATCTGCGGTATGATTTGTGCGTAATTCAGTGTTACAAATAACTTCAACAGGATTCTAAGAAATGATATATTACATTTGTGTTGCATATTATTAAGGGAGTGAAATGAGCGTGATTCACCTGCACGAAAAAACTGGAAAATTAATAATGTACACTGAATATCAATTCTCACTCGGTATGTGCTATGATAAATGTGTCCCCCAAAATACAATATGCGATAAGTCTACATCGAGGCAACTTTGCAAGCATTCCAAGTTGACGCATTACTGGATATGAGTGTGTATCTCACTGCGGTTGTCCGCCGCGTACTGCCTGACGAAAAACTCACCTTCTTAGTTCTATAATTCCGTTGTCACACAAATACCTGCCTTGTTTCCGCAAACGCAAGGACTAAATTATTTATCCCTTGATTATACGTACATTCTTACTTTTATTTAAATAGTGAGCAATATGGCAATGGGGAAAAAAATGATGCTTGGATTTTTAAGTGAACTCAAACTGGTCGGTTTTTGAAACCAACCATCCACTCTAAAATTTTTGAAATTTTGAGAGCTTCTTGGAGCGCTGCCTTTGGGGATGGAAAGCACAAGCTGACGATCATTAATAACGCAGAAATGGTCATTCTAATGTTCTTTGTCGTTATTGGAAGCCTTTTTCTCGGCATCTTTATATTTCGCTATATCTATCTGAATGAGAAAGTTGCGGATTATTTTGCGAATTAATCAGTATAAAAACGCAGCCCTGGTAGTCGGGATCTAATTGGGAAAGCATGCACAAACATGTATTGATGTAGTTTCTCTAGGGTCTGTATTACGTTTTTTGGCTTGAATAACAGAGTGTCTAAAGGTTGAACCAAGAATATTGATGTCTTACCCTTCCCGGATTAAAATGCAATTATTGATGTGGAAGACTTTCATTTGTGTCTAAGGGATTACCGTCGGATGCAGTAGTTATACAAATCATATGCTGTGCCCCTGTAAGCGTGCAGTATTACTCGTGAATCAGAAAACGCATATGGACATACCCTCATTCGTAGCTTTATAAAACTGGAGATTTCATTTTTTTAAACGAGCGTAGATGATTCATAAAGTCCGCGCTTGCCGACAATAAATTAAAAACTTTCCAGTACTTACCAAGATGAACCTTTTCCTAAGGTATATTTGGCAGGCGACCAGCGCTCAGGGGCTGACATATTTTGAAATTGTTTTTGCAGAATTACTTATCTGATAATTGCATCTAAACAATCCTATTCCAGTCGGAAAAAAACAAACGATTCCTACTTCTGCCATCATTTGATTTTAAACGAGCAGCATCTATTTTAATGGGGCGCAGTGATCCCCAACTACCGATAACACTTTCCTAAATGTTAGCAAATATGTCTGGGATGTCTGCTTTTTAACTGGTTTATTTCTGACCGCTAACAAAACGTAAATGGCGTATGAACTAACTGCTTAAATGGTATGGGTATTTATCATTGATTTTGATTGCCTTTATAAATTGACAAATATATATATATATATTGCTGATTGAAGCGAAAATGCGTGTCCCCGGACA